ATTTAAACCCTGGAATATCTTGAAACTACTTGGTACAAAATCTACACCAGTATTATTATAGCTGCTTTACAATATATTTCCAATAAAAAATTTACTGTTTGTAATTTCCAGCATATTTTTTTCTTTAAAGTCTTTTAATTACACTCTAATTTTAAAAAGCTTAGCAACATTATTTAATATATAAAACTTGCTTTAAGATACTTCTCATCTATCTCTTTTTACTTTAATACCTTTATCACTTTATTTAATTAATCTGCAAGCCTATATATTCCTTTACTATCATCTATATACTAACTTCTTACCTCTTAAATTACCAATACCAACTTTGAGTAGAAAAATCTTTTTCATGCTTGGAATATAGTGAATATCAAAGAAATTAGATAACAAATTTTTAATACTATTAACAAAAGATGTTTCAAACTACAAACCTATTCTACTTCAATAATTAATAGTATTCTTAATTAATACAAAGATCTAGTTAAATTCAATAATATTTGATTAAATAACAATATTATCACTGACTCTTTTACTATTAAGTTATATATCCAACAATACTTTGATAATTAGACTATCTCTTGCTATATCAATACTAACACATTTAACCAATAGCAAGTCAAATACAACCCCAAATCTTATATTAATTTTACTTGGTACTCAGATATTCTTTATAACTTCACTAAAAATGAAGTTATCTTAACTATTAATCAACTTTCTAATAATAAAGCTTGTAGCCTTTCTGAAATTAGTTACAAAATATTTAAACATGCAGTCCTAACTTTTTTACTGCTATTATAGCCCATTTTAACTATTGCCTTATCTCTTAAACTATCCCTAAACAATAAAAAAAAGACTACATCTTTTTTATTTCTAAAAGGTCTATTTTTGATAGAAACTTATCTAATACTAGGCTTATAAATTTAATTAAATATATTAAAAAACTATATACCAAACTTCTTATAAACTGTCTCAATGCTACTCTCTCCAAATATAATATTCTGTCTTCTTTCAACTTTGTTGCACTTTCTAGCAACTTAACCTCTATTTCTATCTATATTCTTAACAATATAATTAAAAATACCAACAGTAATTCAAACCAACTCTAGCTACTTTCTTAAAATATGAGCAAGATCTATAACTCAGTCAACTTTAAACTATTTTAAAAATCTTTCAATTGTATACAAATGCTTCAACAACTAATTAATATTCTTATCAATCTTCTTTTTGATCATACTAACTATGTGATTATCAATCTTGGTTTTACTAATTTTTACTCTGTTAAAAATGGTATTGATTAAGAAGAAACAATTACTTCTATTTTCTGAAGAATTTACTATAATTATCTTATTTCATATATCTTCTTATATTTTTCTTTGGATATACACTTTATACATTCTGGCAAACTAGCTTCTTACAAATTACCTCAACATCTCTATATCTGTTCTGGCATATATAGATAATATATTATGGATCATTCAATTCAAAACACAACTTGACAAAATTATTAACATTGCTTCTTCCTTCTATACTATAGCAAATATCCAAGTCAACCCTACTAAATCAATATTTATTACAAACCAAACTTTATCTAATCTTCTATTTTTTAACTCCAACCTTCAATCTATTTCACTTTTCTAACCCTTTAAGTTTTTGGAATATTGGTTTACTCTTAATAATAAACAAACTTATTTAAAATAAAGCTATTCATCTAGCCAATATCACTAATACTAAAACATTACTACAGTAATAAGCAAATTACTTATATTATTAATACTGTTATTATTTCTATTATTGAATGTGGTAGCTGATGCTGAAATTGGCTGATGCTGAGATTTTAAATATTTTAATATTAAATTTTAAAAATTTTTGGGGCCTTTTGTTAGGGTTTTTTTTCTTAGGGTTAGGTTAGGGTTTAGGGGTAGTTTTATTAATAAAAGAGTATAAATGAATTTTAGTAAGTATTGTAGATTTAAATAGAGGTCCCCAATTTCAGCATCAGCCAATTTCAGCATCAGCTGCCACATTGAATATTGAATTTACAATATTGTTATCCTTTTTTCTATATATAACAAAATCCTTAGCAAATATTTTATTATAGCTAAATATAAAGTATACTTTTCTCACTTACTCTTAATAGTATACTTCTTAACTACAATCTCTATAATATTTATAATATCTGAAACATACAACTCTAACACCATATTAGCAACTTTCTTAATTATATTAATAATATTTTCACTCTTAGTACTACAACTCAGATTTGACTTTAGCAACTTCAAAACAATTTTTGGTTTACTACCAATATTCTTTAATACCTTTATTCTATAATTAATAGCCTAAATAGATATTTTACAACTTTTAAAATTATCTAACTTCTTAGTTATCTACATATTTCTATACACTCTTATTCTGATATCTTCTGGTCCAAAACTATAAATAATAGCAACACTCTACTCAAAAATATTTTCTTTAACCACCCCAAATACAATACTTTTAAGCAACAACTTTGACACAAAAATATTCTCTATTTGAAACAACTTTGCTTATCTGACAATAATACTCTTCTAAACTAGCTCTATCTATCTTCTAGACTTTACATATCTTCAAAGAAAAAAAACCACTTTGGTTTATCTATTTAGAGAATAGTATTCTTGATAACAAACTTTATCGAACTATTCTAATCAACTTCTAACTCATAAGTATTTACCTGTTTGCCTTTCAAACTAACATACTTTTCAAAATCTACAAACTCTAAGTTCTTATATATCATAATGAAAACATTATTATTGATCAAGTTTACAAAACTTTTTCTCAAACCAATACTATTTCTATAATATATTGGCAACACAATATTGATATTTCAACTCTATATTGCTATCTACTACTCTCTATCTCTTATACCTTTTATTAGGGTTGCAAACTTAACTCTAACTACATATCAAGCTGCTACACTATAAAAGTATTCACTATTCTTTTCACTTAATTTTTAGAATAAAAAAAAGCTTAACAAGCAGCTTAACTTTAATGCTAATTATATTAATTTTATTTATTCTACTAATATTAAGCACTCTTCTAATATACCACTATTACCTATTATTAATATTACTGATTTTTTTATCTTAGCTATTTTTCAAAACAATAATACTTCTCTACAACTTGCTCAAATTGTTTCTGCTAATACATTCCAAAATCAATTTACTTTCTATATTGATGGCTTAGTTAAACAACTTGGTACTAATCAATACTCAATAGGTATTGGCTAGATTTAAGTTTATAACAACTATATTATTTATAATTTTTTTATACAAATTTCCAATTGGCCTTCATTCTATAAAGCTAAACTACTAGCAATACTATCTGCTATCTTAACACTCCCTTACAACTCTATTATTAAAATATTTACTAACTTCTAATTAGTTATCTCTAAATATAATAAGCTTCTATTTATATCACCATATTTATCTAAATATTTCAAATTCAACTTCTAGTCTATTTGGTATACACTTCTTAATATTTTAAAAGCCTTTAATATACAACTCTCTTTCTATAAAGTTCAAACACACTCCAATAACCTCTTTAACAATCTTGCAAATCTATTTGCTAATAACTACTTCTCTTTTTTAATATTACACTTTAATCATACTAACCTTTACAATCTATACTCTACTTTATTATGAAAAGAATGCTCTATTAAAAGCCCTACTAGATAATTTATTAAAACAATCTGCAAAGCACATACTACTGCTCTATAATCCTTACAATAATATGCCTAATAATAATCATATTATTTCTACTTAATCAACTAAAAAACTTCTTGGTTATATTTTAATAACAACAAAAAAATCTTATACAATTTTACTAACCTCAAACTAAATTATCTAAAATTTTTTAAAATTAAAATGCTTCTTAATATTTTACCAATATATGTATATTTTTACTTTATTTATCTTCCCATTTCATATCTTATAATTGCTTTTTTTGCAACTGTTTAGATACTTCTCCCTATTAATATACCTGCCTGATAGTACTTTTCTAACTTAAACTATTTACTTCTTAATATCTAATATTATCTCTAACTCTAACTTTAATTTTTCTATATATAGTTAGGGATATTTCTATATATGGTATTTCCAAATATCATAATTGATCTATACTGTACAATGATCCAAAAATTTCTAGAATTTATTGATAAGCCTAAATTTGATTGGCTAAAAATTTTGATATATATATATCAGTATATAGAAGAAAATTTAACCGTTTTTCCCAAAAATGAATACCTTAGTACTAGTACCATAATGCTGTAATGTATGTGGATTATTTAGTTATTTAACTGTATTTAAAGAATAATTACTTTTTTATTTTATTTACATAATGAAATCATTAAAAACGTATTGTCTCTGAAAAAAAATTTTATTACTTTGCCCAGACTTCTTGGAATAGGGTGTGTATCAAGTATACTATTATTGAAAAACGTTTAGTTGGTCTGATCTTTTAAATCACAGCATGATTCTTGAATACACAGCAATATGCAGATATGTGAGTACTGAATAAAATGTATATTAAAAGTTTTATGATTTAGAATTTACTTAGAGTATTTTACACTACTAATATCTATGATTCCAGACTATTAAATCAATCTGTAAATGATAGTTTTTCAATGAGTTTGCAGTAGAATTAAGAAAAAAAAAGCCACACTGCTATATCTGTATATTCATTAAGGTATATTCAACTACTATATTTGCTATTGTCTTTGAAATATCATTTAGTGGTTATTACAAAAAAAAAACATTTGAATAATATTTAAAACCTTAGAATATAGAACTTCATATCTGATTTTTAAAATCAAATTAAGGTGACAAAATTAGTATTAATGTAATTTTGGTTGTTATAACTATAAAGCAGAAGAATATTTATATTTTATTATTTAATTTTCGAATTCTATTTCATTTTCAGGTTTGTCTTGCTTATTATGAAGGTCTCTAATATTTTGTAAGATCTTATAATTAAGTACGATTTTTTTGCTTTAATCCACGATACTTTAGACAATCTGAAATATTAACTGAATTTAGCAATGAATTAATAATTAATAGAAGCTCTTCTTTCGACATATTTGCTTCATCCATAGTAGCTGTTTCCTCTTGAGCAGTAACAGATATTGGCCATAGCAAATGATTTGGCCTGTTTTTTTTAAAAGTTTCATCAATAAACTTAATTCATCTTTTACATGCTAAATCACTAAAATTTTTTAGCTTCTCACTAAGTAAATACTCGTCTTCAAGGCTCTTAAATGTGCAATTATTGCCTTGAGAGTTCAATACCCAGTTTGTCATAATTGAACTCAAAATCGTTATGATTCTGTGATGTAATCTAGATGTGTTCAACCTCCTAATGATTTATTGTTAGTATACCTAATCATATTAAATAATATATAACACAACTAATTATTAATTTCAAAATATGATTTATGATTTATAAATTTTTATTTATTTTATTAAATAAAGATTTTAAGTACAATTTTTTTTATTTTAATGTATATTTTCACTAACCTTTATAAATTTTATACAATTTCTTGCAGCAATTCTTCAATGCTTTTGTGAAAGTACAGGTAGAATCAAGGCCTTCAAAGATTTATTAACTTTTTCGAAAATAGCATCAAGGCCTTGATGTTAATAATGCTATCCTGATTGTGAAATAACTAAGTAAGATTTTATATGTTGTCTGATTTTAGATTTTAATCATATTAGTTGCTTTTCATAAATTATTTTAATTGGGCAGTATATAGGATATCTACAACCAGACCATACTGAAGCAAACATACATCAAGCAGTATTTATCAACAATGGTTAGTTGTTTCTAACCCCCATATGAAAATTAATAATGAACTGGAGATAAACAAGTATCTATAATAATGATTAGCTAAAAAGTTTTATATAGAATATTTTATTTTTTATTTAAGGTCTTACTTGTTCAAATTTTAGCTTATATTTATAGTCATTTTGTTTTTTTGCCTAATCTAGATAGCCATTAGCTGAAGGATTTTCAGTTGCAACTACATATGGCTATAATAATTCATATATAATAGTATGTCAATAAATCTTGCAAATAAAGTCTCATGATTTGTGATGATCAGCATATTTTTTAAAATACCCAAGTTGGTTTTCTGTCCTGTATTCTTAAATAATAGCAAATTTTTTGATATCAATCATCCTTAAAAGAATGTATTAGTAAGAATTAGACTATTATATTTGAATTTTCATTAATTTCACAATAATAAGAGTATAAAAAAAAACTATAATACCAATTAAGCTTTACAAATGCTTCAAGCATATTTATTTCTTCATGTAGGGCACCAGGAATCAGTATAAGCCATGGAAAATCTTTTTTGATTTTTTGAGCTAGATTATAAGGAATGCCATTATAGGTAATGGGTAGCCACTTTCATTCTTCTTGGTTTATTTGCATAATACTCTGTATATGCTCTAAAACTTTTTTTATATTACTTATTGAGTTAGGGTTAAATTCTAATAGATCCAGCATATACATTTCTAGAGCAATAATATTGTCATCAGGTTCTAATCATTAGGTAACACTAATATGTTCGAAATGAGAGCTTTTTTATTTGTAAGTATATAAATAAGACTTTATTATAAGAGGTTTGGATTGAGATTAAGAGGCTGTGTTATTGAGTCATGTAAGTTCATTAGCAGATTTTGCTTGTAAAGCAGCTAAAGTATCTAATTTCTCATTATATTTAGGGCATGTACAATTTTTATTATCAATGTTGGTTGTATTGCATTTTTTATACTATTTTGATTAACTCCTAGCACCTCTTTGATTTTTTATGCTTTGATCAATAATATTTGTTGTTTAGTTTTTTCAGTTATAAGATCTTTTAAAATTAAAGATAAGTATATTTTTAATTCTGATTCATGTTCTTTTTTCATTTCTGGTATAGAATAATATAACTTTTTATATTTTTTATTAGTTAACAAGTCATTAAGCCAAGGTGCGATTACGAATTGAGTCAAATCATTTTTGTTCATATTTAAAGCAACAAAGCTCGTAACTATGTGATAGATAACTGTGTTATATCTGCGATCAAGATAATTATATTGACCTCATTATTCATTATTAAAGGCCAAGAATAAAAGTTCTTTAGATAAAGGTTCACTTTTGATTGCTAATGATTCTAACCAGTTAACGAATTTAGTATAACTTTCAAAACTAACTATATAATTATCAATATCAACAATTGTTTTAGATTAGGATAGTGAATATTTTATTCCTAATATGGCTAGACTTATTTCTGATACGTAGTTTTTATGTCTTGAGCTATATATTGCATTAATTATAGCTATTTTTTTAAA